TACCTTATTTGCAAATAAGGTTGTTGCAGGTGTAATTAGTTAAGATGAGGTCCTACTGGAGTAGGGTGGGCCCCTAATTCAATATGGCTGGTGTTCTTATATAAATGGGAAATTTGGCCACACACAGACACACTCACTTGCACACATACACACACACATAGTATGTCATGTGAAGATGGAAGTAGAGTCAGGATGATGCAGCAGAAGCCAAGGAATACCTAAGATTGACAGCAAATCACCAGAAGCTAAGAAAGGGGCACGGAACACATTTTTTCCTTACAGCTCTCAGAAAGAGCTAACCCTGCCATCACCTTGATTTCTAACTTCTAGCCTTTATAATTCTGAGACAATAAATTTCTGTTGTTTAAGCTACTCAGTTTGTGGTCCTTTGTTACAGCAGCCCTAAAAAACTAATATAGTTTTTGCTTAAGATTCAAACCCCCAACAAAGTAATTCTAATTTGTCCACTGATAAACAAAAATTTAGATACATTAGAAGACAAGATAGCAAGAGTGTGAGAAATGACTTTGAGATATCAGGCCTATTGATTGGGATGATTGGAATGATGGCCTATTCATTGGAAAACAGAACAGTGGAGTTGAAACAAGTCTTATAGATAGCACAATGCTTTATATATTTGAGTTTGTGGTAGTGATGGAACATCCATGTGGAGATGCCACTCAGGGGATTAGAAATTTAGAGAGGGGCTGAAGTTAGAGATGTCCATATGAGAATCAATTTTAGAGAGGTAACTTTTGAAGAAATTGGATTGTTAATCGTTAACTCTGGGCTGGACCAAGAGTAAGCCCAACTATAACTTAGAGGTTGCACCATACCAGGGTTGTGATGGTTTCCGTGGGCAGTGCTGGAGGAGTTGGGGAGAAGCAAACACTGCCAGGAGGTAGATAAAGTTTTCAGGCCATCAGGGAGGACAGCAATTTACCCAAAAAAGTGCAAGTGACAAATTTCATAGCAAGAAATTGTGTGGGCTCCAAGAACTTTGAGCCAAGGTCAAAAGCATAATATGGAGAGAAAAATTCAGTAGAAAAGTCAGATTAAAATTAGTTGGAGCCAAGACAATTCACTGGGGGAAAAATAGTCTTTTCAACGAATGGTGCTGGGACAACTGGATATCTGCATGCAAAAGAATAAAGGTGGATCTGTACAACACACCATATATAAGCAGTAACTCAAAATGGATCAAAGACCTAAATGTAAGAGCTAAAATTATTAAACTCTTAGAAGAAAATATAGGTGTAAATCTTTACCTTGGATTAGGCAATCATCTCTTAAATATGATAGTAAAAGCACAAGCAACAACAACAAAAATAGATAAATAGACAAAAAGTAAAAACTTTCTTCGTGGCTTAAAGAATACCATCAAAAAAGTGAAAAGACAACCCACAGAATAGGAAAAAATCTTTGCCAATCATACATCTAATAAGAGACTTGTGTCTAGAATATATAGAAAACTATTACAATTTACTAATAAAAAGACAAATAACTCAATTAAAATATGGGCAAAGGATCTGAATTGACATTTCTACAACAAAGAGATACAAATGGCTGATAGGCACATGAAAAGCTGCTCACATAATTAGCCATCATGGAAATGGAAATCAAAACCACAAGATGCCATTCATCTGAACTAAAATGACTATAATAAAAAAGAAAAGTGATAATAAGTATTGGTAAGCATGTGGAGAAATTGAAAGTCTTATACACTGATAGAAGGAAAGTAAAGTGGGACAGTCATTTTGGAAAACAGTCTGGTATTTCCCCAACGTTTAAACATAAAGTTACCATATAACCCAACAATTCTGTTCCTCAGTATATACCTGAGAGAAATGAAAACATATGTCTACACAAAAACTTGTATGCAAATATTTATAACAACACTATTCATAACAGCCAAAAGTGGAAACAACCCAAATGTCCATCAACTGATGAATGGAAAAACAAAATATGGTATACGCTTGCAATGAAGGTAATATCATTTGGCAATAAAAGGGACTAAGTCCTGATTCTTGCTATAACCTGGATGGACCTTTAGACATTATAATAAATGAAAAAGTCAGTCAGAAAGGACCACATATTGTATGATTCTATTTATGTAAAGTGCCCAAGATAGAAAAATCTATAGATATAGAAAGTAGATTAATAGTTGCTTAGGGCTGGGACGTAGGGATGGGAATGGGAAATTACGATTAAGGAGTATGCTGTTTCTTTTTGGGGTGGTGAATATGTTATAAAATTGATGGTGCTGATGGTTGCACAGCTCTGTGTTATATTAAGAACCATTGACTAATACACTTTGGGTGAATTTTATGGTATGTGAATTACATCTCAATAAAGCTTTAAATAAATTCTGATCAAGGATGGAGGTGTAGTGAATAGACATGGACAGTAGGTTTCAGGAATGGGTCCAGTTTTATCTGTGTGAAACATCAGGATTGAATAGATACCAAAGACAGAGTATCATGTTGCTAATTGACAAGGAGGATTTAAGAAAATACTCCTTCACTAGCAAAGATATATTCCTTGTCTTAGTCTGGTTAGGCTTCTACAACAAAAATACCATAGACTGGATGGCTAATAAACAACAGAAATTTATGGGAATATTTGCGGTCCGGTGAGGGCCCACTCCCTGGTTCATAAACTGTCTTCTCCCTGTATCCTCACAAGACAGAAGAGGGAAGAGAACTCTCTGGTCTCTTTTATAAAGGCACTAATTCCATCCATGAGGGCTCTATCCTCATTGTGTAATCACACCGCAAAAGTCACATCTCCAAATACTGCCACCTTGGGGGTTAGGATTTCAACTTGTGAATTTTAGGGGGACACAAACATTCAGTTCATTGCACTGCTTTAGTGAGAAATCTCAATAAACGTGAAAAACTTTTAACTTTTTAAATAAATGTCAGCTGTTCTATACTGAGCCTCCTCCCTCTTTCCTTTACAGTGTCTTAGCCAGATTCCATAGATTTTCTGTGAATTTTGGCTATCAGAACAGTCTCATTCTGATGTTGAAGATTTAGTTCTTTAAGTTTAAAATTTGAATCTCACATCCAATGCCAAGCTAATCTCTCCCCGACCTGCATCCTCAAGAACAGGCTAGAGCTGTGCAGCAGGGGCTGTTGTCTGGTTCTCAGACATTTTCTCTGCCTCCTTTCCTTTACCGATTCTCCACCGCTTCCCACGTCTCCCCTAGTTCCCTCCACCTTTTAGTAGTAGCTGCCTTTGGGGTGGTAATGAAGGAAATGCAGAAGGAGCCACTTTGCCATGCTGCAGAGCAAATTCCTAGGTGCACAAACAAAGAGCTTCACAAGCTCGCCCTTAACACTTTGATGAGGACTTGACCTGTAGAAAGGTGGTGTCATTCCTTGCCCCTGTGAACTTGCCTTTATTTACCCTTTCTCTGGAACCTTTCCAAATACTGCTACTGGTTTCATTGCCCAAAGGATCACAATCCCCCTCTCCCGCCGCTGTTGAGACTTGACCATTATTCCTTATGTTATTTTAATGAAGTGCTTGGGAAAAATGTGTAATTTAAGCAATTTCCACTCTACTCCCAATCCTATGATTTACATATAAGCTGTTAGTTGTTACAGGTTGTTAACTCTGGCAACTTATTGTAGGGGTTGTTACATACAAAGTACTGTACCTGCAGGGTTGACTTTTCCCTTTGCTGTTTTGTTTTAATTTGAGGAGTGGAGAAACTAAATTATCAAAGACATCAGCAGATATTGTCACTCTACCTCCCATCCTCTTCTTTGCATCTCTTTCTTCGTCTTAATCTCCTATTTTCTCCTCTTTTTCATTGCTTTCCACAAAATATCAGATTCCAGCTGAAACTCTGTTTAAATCCAATGAGATCATTGGCAGCTGGAAATTGTGTGTGTGTGTGTGTGTGTGTGTGTGTGTTTTCTCATTAATTGGTTCTTTCTATAGAGTTAAATCACTGTATCCAGGTGGTGGCATGTTGAACACAAAAGCACGCTAAGCACTAAATAATTTACTTTTAGCTCTTCCAAACACTATCATATTCTCTGGTGACTTGGGCAGCAGTGGTGATTATATTTGTAGACTTGTCTTCTTTGTCAAAACTGGCAGGGGCTTTTTTGACACCACTAAAAGTGACACTGACAGTACAGAGTCCTTGGGGTAGCTCACATTTTTTTTTAAGAAAATAAATGTCACAGTGCTGTGGAAACAATCATATTACTGGCACTTAAAATCATACCTCACCATGCCAAGGTAAAAATAACTTGGGACAACAGATCTGACTTTGATTAAGAATACCGTGGGAAACAGGGAGATTGAAACCATACATTTTTAAGTTCTCCCACATTCTCTCATTCCAACTCCATAGGATGCAGCTACTATATCTATGAGCTGGTCAGCCATGAAAAACTTGCTTCTCTTTATGCCCTCTTCAAGTTGACAATTTTGGATCCACAATTGGTAATGTCTCCAGATGCCAGGCAACACAGATTTTTGGACAACTTTCAGAGCTGCAGAGAAAAAGTGGGAACCCACAAGTGGGAAGGGACAATTCAATACTATTTGACTTGAGATTTTGAAGTATGATTCTCACTTAACTACCGGCCAAGGAAGGCCATATGCTGGAAGAGGCACACCAAATGAAAAATGAAGAGACTTGCATTTCATATACGCGTGGGCAAAAACACTTTTAACTCTTCTCAGGTTTACCTGACCATCATATACACAACTGGAAGAAGAAATTGAATCTTGTTTTTGTAGTTTAGTACTATTTTTACCAAAGTAAAACAAGGAGAATGCCAACCCAGAGGGATAAATTACACCATGGTGTGAAATATACTAAGTCCTTGAAATTGGGTTCCACCCTAAAGTGTTGACCGTGTTTTCCAACTAACTGCCCTTCCTACTGTGTTAGAAGAGCATGCCTGCATGCACTTTGAGGAAGGAAGTTTCAGAGTGTGGGCATGGTTACAACAAACCTTTTGGTTTTTTCTCTTTAGGGGAAAGTGTGAACACAGTCCCCTACTACCACAAATTATGCAGTCGAGTTTGCCACATTTGGGGAAATCACAGAGGTTAGTACCTCCTGATTGCAGTGGATAAGACTCGCATTGGGAAAACCACCTGGTGATCATGGTATCTCCCCTGCCAGATAATAATCAATACATCTTTTTAGTTTTCCAGACCTTAAGTCGTAGCTTTTCCTCTTCTTTGGCTTAGGAGAAAGTCTGCGAACCTCACTTTATGCCCAACTCTGGGTCATCATAGCTAAATTTTCCAATATATTTCTAACTCATCTATCTTCTTCAGTTTTCTTCTTTCTTAATCTTTCTATTCCACCTTGTAGATCAATATCAGATAGGCTACCTTTCCTAAACTCCACTCATTTTAACATGCCTATGCTTAAGAATCAAAGATGGCTCTTTGCTGTCCATCAAGTCAAGTCCCATCACTTTAGCATAGCACTTTATCTTTGAATGGTCTCCCTATCCACCCAGCACCCCTGTCCACTCCTGTAGCTTCAATTTAGTCCACATTTTTCAAGGTCTTTCCTGCTGCTTCTCCATCCCCCCTCATCTCCCCCTGATGTACATCCCCACCCTCTTTGCTCCCAGTTTTTCACAACCACAGCAAACCAAAATTTCTATTGCCCCCAGAGATTCTGATATGGGTCTCATTCCCTTACACCATTAAGAATCATGGTTTTTGTTTATCCTACTAGCGAGGGATTTGTAAAACTTTATTTTCCTTGATTTGAACTATGAAAGTCAAAATCATTGGTTTTGATCTTTTTTAAAATAAGAAACTGTTGTGATATAGAATATGTATTTTTTCAAATAACATCTTCCACTTCAAAGAAGCTGATATTCTCCCTCCTTTGAAAATCACATATTTAAGTCCTATACTCCTCTCATGTCAGCATAATCTCAACCTTTCCTAAGTGTTGTCTTTAACTATTCTCCTTTCTTTGAACTCCTATGGCACTTGTAAATGACACATACTTATTACTTCTTTGTTGTGTGTTATTTTAAATTCATCAATGAAATGAGTAACCTTCTTGAGAACAGTAGCCATGTCATATTCCTCAATATTTCTCTCCAGCCTAATGCTAGGCATATGATAAATGTCTAAGTTCTTATTATCAATTCATTCTGCTCAATAATTGGAAATTTCTACCATAAAAATGTGTCTGTCTGAATTATGGCTGCTTACCAGCGCTTGTACAAAACCAAACACACTGATAATCCATGTATTTATAGAAGGAAAATTACAGTCTCCAGGCTCTGGGCAAGTTTTGTACACATGCAAAAATACTCAGAAAAATAACATCAAGGATAATGAACTGTATGTTTCTGAGTTGAATGAGGTTTTCAAGGTAATCACTACCATATATTTAGTGACAAGTCCTTTCAATGCCTAAGAGTTTCTGGGAATCTGTGGATGGTTTACTCGTTAAACTGTTGCCTACAATCTATCTCAATGTGTTTTTTTCTACACTAATTTATCCCTTCACAAATTACGCCTTGTTCAGGAAAAAAATGTGTGTGAGAAATACTTTCCACTCATCTTGCCAAACCTGTTAAGAAACATTCCATTTGTTCTTCCAAAACTAATGTTTACCTTTTCTAATAGACATGACTTTCATCTGAAGTCTGATATTTTAGAAGTTTTCATTTACCACTTTAGAAGCAATATTTTGCCCATGTTATGTAGGTATTCACCCCCATTACTTTCACTGAATTCTGTATCAAATATGATTATGAAAGGAATAACTGGAATAAGTTGATAAGAACTAAATTATTTCCAAACTATTTTAGCATCCACCTCGAGTACCCTGCATTTTTATAGATATGTGGAAAATTCTACAGTATTGGAAGAATGCTACCTTTTTTAAATAAAAGAAAGCAAGCTTTGTTTTCTAAATAAAGGTTAGTAATGTATTCAGAAATTCTATTCTCATATCTTCAGTTTTTAAGCACTCAAGGAAGAACAAACAGGTTCTGGAATTTTATTTACTCAAATAGGTTTTGAAATATATTGCTCAATAGTGGCTGTTTTTTCTTTTTTTGGAAAAGAAAGTAAACATGTTATTTCATTTCTTGATAATTCAGGCACATTAACTACACGTCCCCTTGTTCTTTCAGAGATCACCAGGCTGACCTCATATATGTGTAAGAAATGATTTTCCAAGATAATAAGTGCTTTTAAGCATTTTCTTGATTTATGTTACTGGCTCACCAACTATTCCCAGGAAAATGAGGTGGAATACTTCCAAATATGCCCTTCTCACCTTCCTCCTCACACTTCTCTTTCCTGCCAAAATCTTGTTTTCACAGTTGTATTTTGTTACTGATGCTCACTCTGTGTGGTCCCTTTCTAATAAGGGAGTAGAGAAACACCCTGATTGATTTTCTCTCTTACCGTAATCCTAGACTCCCGGGAATTTGGAGGGCCTGTGGTTTGCTCTCTGTCTCCCCCTTCCTTTCTTTCTTCCTCAGATCTGAGCTTATTGGATGCAAACAGAACATTGGTGCTTCGTGACTGGGGAATGCAGCAGATGCTTATCCCAGTGCTTTTCTCTAGGTGTATCTACACCTGCAGTCCAGCCATCATGGCTGAATTGTCAGATTAGTCAGTGAAACAACTTGTTCTTTTTAATGAATTAATTTGATGGTTAGCTAAAACGGCAAGCCATAGTTCTGAACTGACAGGGTAAAACGGCGGTTTGTATAAAGATAACCTAAATTATTTACAGAACAATGTAGAGTAGTGTCATGCTCAGTATGCATCCTGGAAAATACAAACCTATTGTCATCTGGCTCTGCCATTTCACAGATGGCATATTAAGTGCACAGTATTCTTGCTTTTATCACTCAGATATACTGTATGAGTGAAGGTTCAAATGGACTACTTCTAAAATATTACTATGTTGGATTAGATTCAGATTTGGGGAAAAAATCAATTCTTTTAGAAGAGCAGATACATTGGAAATTTAAAAGAACAAAACCCTAGAAATTATGAGTTTAGCTTAAAACTCTTGTCATTAACACATCCCTTTGGAATATAACAGAGAACAATACATTCTCAAATTGCTACAGTGCCCTTTGTTCTGGAATCCTAGAGAACTTAACAACCAGTACAGTTAAAATTAGCAACAGAGCAGTAGATTTCCTGGAGGAATTATTGTAGACAAATGAAAGCAAAACAAATCAGCTTAAAGTTTGGATTAAAGAAATTAACCATGGGGGCTTTCTTTATTTCATTTCGCAATGTCTTCTAAGACAGAGGTCATGTGACTACAGATTTATAACTGAGTTAGAATTTAGCTAGTAGTAACATCCAGCACAACGTAACTGAGCTTCATATAAAGCATTCTGTACAGTTGTGAAGAGCTTAGCATACATGAACTTCTACAAGCCTTACAATTATCCAGTGAGGGAGTGTATTGCTTTCCTTGTGCTGATGTAACAAATTACCACAAACTTGGAAGCTTAAAAGAACAGAAATTTACTCTCTCACAATTCTGTAGGATAGAAGCCCCAAATTCAGCAAAGATGCACTACCCCTGGGGGCCTTTAGGGAGAATCCATTCTATGGCCCTTCCAGCTCCTGGTGGCTGTTGGCATCCCTTAACTAGTCAGCTGCATCACACCAATCTCTGTCTGCATGGTCACATTGCTCCTCCTCTCCTGTCTGTCTCTCTTCTGTGTGTCTCTTAGAAGGATATTTGTCATTGGATTTAGGGCTCACCTGCATATTCCAGGAAGATCTCAACATCTCAAGATCTTTAGCTTAATTTCATCTCCAAAGACCCTTTTCCAAATTAAATTAACATTTAGAGGTTCCAGGGATTAGGACGGGGACATATGTTGTGGAGGCCACCATTTAACCCGCTACAAGTAGGTAGTACTACTATATCCATTTTACAAATGAAGAAAATGAAGCACACTAGCTAATACTTATCGGACTATATCCCAGGAATCACATTGTGTTTTATATACATTGTACTATCTATCTAATATTCATAAACATCCCATGAGGTAAGCAAATTATTATTATTGGCATTTTACAGATAAGGAAGCTGGGGCTGAGAGGATTTGCTCACTATCGCACAATTTATAAATGGTGAATCCAGGACTCAAATGCAAGACAGCATGATTCCAGAGCCTGTACCTTGAGATACAAGTAACCCTATTCCTCCAACTTCCACCATCTGTGTTAGGAAGATCAAAGGTGGTGGGAATCTCAGGGTGATGAGATAAATAAGACTTCAAATTGCTACTCTGCTACTTACTTGCAAGCACCATGACCTTTTGAAATTAGTTTCCATATGCATAAAACAGGAATGTTAATTATAATAATTTACCTATCTCACAAGTTGCCCCTCCCAGCCCCATGGGTACTGAATTTTTTTAATCAATGTTATTGAGAAATAATTTAAGTACAATAAAGTCACTCATTTAAATTGAACACATTGCTCAATTCAATGTATTTTGAAAGATGTATGTTCTTGTGGGACTACTACCACAATCAAGACACAAAAGATTTCCATCACACCAAAAAGATGGTTCATATCCCTTTGAAGTCTATCCCTTCTCCACCCCTGCTTTGAGGCAACTACTCAACTGCTTTTGATTTTTATAAAAATTCAGTCATACAATATGTGCTCTTCTGTGTCTGGCTTCTTTCCCTCAGCATAATATTTCCAAGGCTCATCCATAATGTTGCATGCATTAAAAATTCATCCCTTGAGATCTCGTCAAGATGGCAGCATAGGCAGACTCTGAACTCATCTCCTCCCATGAACACAACCAGGTTACAACTATTTTTGGAAAAATTACCCTGGATAGAAAACTGAAAACTAGGTAAAAAGAAGCCCCACAACAAGGGACAGTCCTGACTAAGGCAGAAGAGGCAGAAATTCCTCCTGGAGACAAAATAAGCCACCTTCAGGATCACTGGAATTTCTCAGCTGGCCAGGCAGGAACCACCCTAAGGTATACAGCCCTCCTTGGAGAAGTGAGATCTTGAGCAGAGGCCCGATACTGCTATAAGCATCCTTCAGACTCAGCACAACTGAGATGAGGGTCTTACTACCTGGCTTTGCTGGCTATTAACTGCAGTGGGGAATACCCCCAGAAAAGCTATCAGATGAAAGC